TTTAACGTTCAACCCACGCTCAGTCCCACGCCGTAGTCTGATACGGGGTTAACGATTTTTTTCTTAGTTTGATTGTATAATATATCACATACAGTCATGTTTCACTTACTTACAGTTAATGTTACGTTGTTACATTATTTTGATCAACGTTGCAAGCAACGTGCTAGCATATTGCTACGTGCATGTTGTTTTATTGTATGTGCTTTAAGCTTCAGTGCTTAGGCTCTCAAATCGAATTTATATATCTATTTTTTATACATGACATAATACAGATATTAGGAAACGTAGTTTATATGAAACGTTATATCATATTTTTATATATGTATAAAAAATGTTTTGCGAAAATTTGTAAATAAAGTTTACATTAGCATGGGAACGTCATAAATTAATTTATATCTTTTTGAAGGATACCGAAAGATAAGAGAACTAGAGCAAATTGGGTTGCATTTATCGGCCATGAAGCAGGTCTGAATGCTGGAATTTGTAGCAGACATTTTAAACAATCTGATTTTATTTACAAAATATATGGACAACGTGTTAGAAGATTTCTTAAACCAGGATCTTGTCCATTACCGCGTTCACAAAATACTAGGTAACTTTCAATTCCTATTTGAAATTTCAAAACTGAGTCCAGTTACACCAACTTCCGGTTTGTCACAAAAATAGAATCATCACCAACGCGTATTTTAAGTGCTCATTAGTAATAAATATTTTTTTCCTAACTTTCTGACACATTTTTGAAGAAAACGGCTGGCATCGGTATATGACATTAAAAAAAACTTTTGTATGCAAGATATTATATGTATATTGATGTTTGTATAATTTAGAAAAAATGTTAAACTCACTGGAAACACTAAAAATTGCACACCATTGAGAGCTGAAATTGACACTAATCTGGAAACAGATGTAACGATAAAAAGAGAAATACAAACGTGCATTATGGATGAAACTGTAGTAAATACAGAGGATTCAATGGATATTCAATTAAAAAGGTTGGTTCGCATGTAATATTACGTGCTTAATTTTTATAAATTTTTATTGAAAAATTTTTATTTAAAACAGTGTAGAGATATAAAATGGTTTTACAAGACCTTTCCGTTTCACTTTTAGAGAGACTGATGATCCCTTAGCCATTACGGGAGATGATACAAGTTTAGATGAAACAATGATAAATATAAATTCGATAGATATACAAAGGTTGGTTCATATATAATAGTTGCTCAATTTTTAATACAAATTTTTAAAAATATTTTAAATGATAGTATATAAACATATGAAATGGTTTGAATCTGATCTTGTTTTATTTTCAGAGAAACTGATGATCCTTTAGCCACTATAGAATATAACACTAATCTGGAAACAAGTGTACTATTAGAAAATGAAATACAGGAATCCATAAATATAGATGAAACAGCTATAAATATAAATTCAAAAAAAGATAACCAACTGAAAAGGTTAATAAGCTAAGTAAATGTAAAATGTGCCAATATTTTCGCGTGAATTTATATACATTTTTCACTTAGCAAACTACACGCCGCGTACTGTCAGTCTTGAAACGCAGCTCTCAAGCTGAAGCTAGAAAAGTGTAATCACATAATTAAATTGATAATCACGTTAATAATACCGATGCTAATAAGTATTTTTAGAACTACTACAAAGGATATGTTGTGAAAAACGATTGTACTATTCTAGCTTTAGGTTGAGACTGCGTTTTAAGATTGATAATAAAATCGGCAGTAGTTTGCTAAATGAAAAAATTTTTAAATTTACGCGAAAACATTTTATTAGACACAAAAGATCCAGACCGACCGTAGTTTGCTAAACGAAAAATGTACATAACGTTCTGTTTTATTTTTAGAAAAACAGATGATTCCTTGGCCAGTAGGAAACGCTTTTACAATCCAAAATACATTGATGATCTATGTCGAGAAGATTTTACTTCAGATGAATCTTGGTGTTTGTTCAAAGATTATTCAAAAGAAACAAAAATGAAAATAAGATCATTGAAGAAAGTAATTGTACATTTAAATAAAAGGATCAATAGCCTGCAAGAGAAGGTAAATTTAAAGAGATTGTACGTTGCATGCAACAAAATTGCACATTTTCAAAATATTCGTCTGTTACGATAAAAAAGAATTACCCCTATCTTCTTTACACAAACATACTAACACAATATAAATTGTTGGATTTGTGCTAATTGCCCCTTGTAATTAGAATATATTATATATATTGCATTATAATTGAACAGTAATAAATTATATATTTTCTATTTTTTTTATTATATTATAAATTATATATTTACTCGGTGATGATTTTATAATATTTTTTAGTCAATCAGTATTAGATGATATTTTAAAAGATGGTGTAGCCGCAAAGGTGTCATACAAATGCAATCTACTAATATAAATCTGTGAGTGGTATTCATAGTCCGTTCTCAAGGCAATACTTCATCTTGACAAAGATTATCTCATTTGACGATCATCTTAAGATGTTATACGTATATTTATAATCTGTACTTACGGTAATCTTAATAAATAAGAAAATACTGTAAATTGTTTTGTTTCGTACAAGATCATCTTTATAAAAGGCATATTGAAAGCCATACTTATTTGTATTTGGCAAGTATTAGAATAATTCTGTTAGAGCAAGGATAGTTCGATTTTTTCTGCACAGAATAAAAAACAATTGAGTTTTTATATCAATATTTTGTTGCATATAAAAATGTGCTAATACATCTTGCTTTGTATTAAAAGATATTAAAAAATGTTCCAAAAAAGGTAGACATTATATACTTGTGGAGAAAATATATTTTCTTGCAAATAGCGAAATATTAAGATGTATTTTTATTGAATGTAAAAAAGTAATAACATTACCCAAAAAATAAGTAGCGTGGAATGAAATTTGTAAAGAGTACAATAATGCATCCTTTATTACGCAAGAAAACAAATTATTTATTTGTAAGATAACCAGACGCCCTGTTTTGAGTAAAATAATCCTGTTTTTAAAGGCTTTTTGTTCTTCTGAAAATAGAAACTTTGTTTTTCTTTCAAAAAATGTCATCTTTAGCCTGCTATATATATATATATATATTTTTACATACTATTATGCCCGGTCTTGAAATTATTTCGTATTATTGTGCAGAAAAACATGCAACAATTAAAAAAATTATGGACAAATTTGAAGCAAGCACAAAAAGGCTTAATAAAGGAAAGACAAGTACGGTTTGGCACTGGAGGAAGACCAGAAGTTTCACAGGAAATCGATGCTGATGTGGCAGCAATAGCACCAAACTTAATGGCTACAGCCCCTATATTATTTGCATCGAACATGAACAAGGATGAAGTAAAACGTAATTCTTACAAATAATGCTACTAATTGAATTAATTTGTTTTAATTATTTATTAATAATTAAAACGAGTGACACTCGTTTGCCTATGTCTCAATTGCCCCCCCCCCTCCCCAGTCCAATCAAAATAACCAAATTTAATATAACCCTACTGAATTAAGCACTCTGATTGATTCGTGAGCAAACGGGATGCTCCCGTTAAAACAGTTACATTTTATCAATTGCTTCTTATCAAATTATTCTTAAGTAATTATTTATTTTGCTTTAAATAAAAAATATAATGTATTACTAATATAATGTATTACATGACAGGTCATAATGAAGGTAAAAACAGCGAAGTACGTATGGAACTTGCAGAAGACGAACAAACAATAGAAACTACAAACACTGATTTGTTATATGAAGAAGGGAAATCAGAAGCAGCAAATATCAAATTATTATCTGAAGTTTGTGCATCATCTGTTAAAAGTATGTTATTAATATAAGGATCATTTTTACGTTAAAGTAGTGCTGCATTTATTATAGGATAATGTGATCAGCTTTTTCACATATATTTTTTTTACAAATAAACCTTTTTTTTCCAAATCATGATTATGAGAATTAATTTTTTATTTACTTTACAGAAGTGGCATTAGATACAGTAACAATAAAAGGAAACACAAAAGATATAAAACATAAATTGTGCATTGATACAGAAGGAGATTTAAAGATACAAAGGTTAAAAAATATTATAGAACAGGAAGAGGAATTAGCCAAATTTAAATTAGAATCCGAAAAGAGAATGGCTACAATTAAAGAAGCTCATTTACAAGATATAAATCAACTAGAAATGAGAACAATTTTGGCAAAAGTCAAATTGGCCGAGCTATTATTTAAGAAGGAAGAGGTTGAAGAAAAGTAATTTTAAATATAAGTTAAAAATATCAAGAGACAGGGGGAGTAATCTCGCGCCAAGTATACGCGAAATGAGACCGCAGCATGTATCTTTACGCGATTAAATTGTATGTAACACAACTACGTAAAAAGTAACATTTACTATACTCCGTCCAACGAGAGATTGAGAGTGGTTCTTGTGCATAGGCGGGCCAAGTTCCTATAGAGTGTGGCGTACCGTAAATAATTATAAATAGATGTTCTCTGGGCGGAGACCTGCGCGAGACGGACGAGTTTTCGTCCGATCTACTCTCAATCTTTCGTTGTGGGCCGAGTATAAATATTAATTTTAATAATATAACGTATTTAATAAGTAATAAATAAAATAATGTAAAATATAATAATAAAATAAGTATATAGTTAACTTTATTTTTTCCCGTGGGGGTAACAGACTTCCGTTTCCATACAAACATCAAACATATATGTACACAATGTACGATAAGTACACAAGCAACATATAGACATTTATTTTATACATTAAGGCCATATACATCGACCATATTTTACTATATTGCCTATCTTATAAAATAAGTATATAATAAACGGAGAGTTACTGTTTAATCTTTTTAAACTTTATTATTTTAAGACAAAATGCTTTGCAAATAAATATGGTATATAAAATATTTTGTATAAGTTCTTATGTTATATTTTTAACGTTATATATACGCGATATATCCAGGTGGAACAAAAAATCACAATAAAGTTAAAATGATGATAAAATGACCAAAAATTATTTTGCCGTCATTTTGACATCATTCTGACTACTATTGTGACTTGCTATTCTACCTGGATATATTAGAACTTATAATTAGCAATCACCTAAGATGCTCATAAATATATAATAAATATGTAGACTGCGCGTTACAATCGTGTGCTATACTTTGTTTTAAAAAGACAACAGTATATTTTCCTTCAAATAAGGAACTTTTTTACTTCAAGTTTTTATCTTCTTTTTTATAAAATAAAAATTTATGCGAGTGTATACTCTGCAGACATTGGAAAAAGGAAGAGCAAAGAGTGGAGTGTAGGAAGTGTAGTTGGAATGGTTCTAGAATTTGTAAACAGATCTCGCTAACCGCTTTGAGTTATGAGGTTAAAATCTTTCATATGACACACGTGAATTATTTTATGTTGAATTGCAGCGTTATATCAAATTTTGGAAATAAAGTCAACTGTACGACAAAGCTCGAGTTGTTTTAATAGTTGGATTAATAGGTAAGTTGTCGAAATTTTTGTGCTAAAACCTCAGTCGAATCTGTCAAAAAATAGATTTGTGAAAAATCTACTACAAATTTTATCAGCAGAACATTGGCAGAAATATAACAGAAGATATCTGAGATAAATGTATATTTAAATTCTCACAGTCAATTATGAATAAAAATACATTGATTTGATTTCATTTTGTGTCAAAACAAAGATTTGAAAAATAAAAAGTTGTCGTTTGGCACTTAAAAGAAGTAATTGAGCAGAAATTATTGTTAATTATGTTGTAATTGCATACTAGATTTCATATTTCATGTGCTATTTCGATCATAACGCATGCTCATTGCGCTATTTCGATTACTACACATGTTATCGTATCGCTACATTCCGTCGGTATAACAGATTTCCTAACCTTCAAGAACTTTACCATTTAATTAAATTGCGCTATATAACCCTTCGGGGAGCGCGCTATTAACGCTATTTGCTTATTCTATACTTGTTCTACACTTAAATGAGCGATAAAGATAGTATGATGCAATAGCGCTAATAGCGCGCTCCCCGTCCCCGAACGCAGCCTAGGCCCTAGGGCAGGGTTGAAGGCGCTAACGCTCCTAACCTAAAAGGAGCAAAACAAAAAAAAAACATTTAATTATTAGCCCCTAACCTAAAAGAAGCAAAACAGAAAAAACTGTTTAATTATTTCTTTTCCTCTTTAATGCGAGCACGAACTTTTATTTTTTAAATCTTTTTACACGAAATGATATTGAATAGCATAAATTATTAATTTATGAATTTGAGCGTTAAAGCAGATTGTTGGGAAAACACTTAAGTTTAATACTTAAAACACTTAAGGGCCAAAGCACATATGACAGTCGTAGTCGTGGACGTAAGTAACGCACAAGCTTTGGCGTATCCTGATCTGTCAGGTCGGGGACTACGACCGTCGTATATCGCTACGCCATGTTATGTGCTTTGACCCTAACGCACATGCAGTTCCTGTCGTACGTTTCTGCTGAAATTTGCTGGGATACTGTTAGGGTCACTTTGATCAAACTCCGATTAACTTAATCGTTATCCATCCAATCGCATTTGCTCATTAAGCAGATTGGCAAATACAACTGGTCATTTCCCCAGTGGACTAATCATTAGAGTATATCGTTAAAATTTCGCTTACAGGGAGCTTTTTTCCACGTATTTTATTATCAAAACGTAATACATTGTGACAGTTAAAAATTTCTTCTTTTGGCAAAAATCAAATTGGCTAAGGCTATTATTAAAGAAGGAAGAAAGTGAAGAAAATTAATTTCAAATATAAGTTAAAAATACATTAAGTTACGTCTAATAATGACATAAAAAGTAACGTATTTACTAAATATTGATCTTCCATTGAGAAAAGAATAAATTTCGAGGTACTCTTCTGCATTGATATTCATTAAAACTCTGAACGAATAAAATAAAAATTCTTAAACCGTCCACTTCATGCATCTTGTATCGAGATGAGTACCTAGGCACTTGACACAGCAATATCTGGCGCCGCATGGTATACACGTATAATTACTGGGGAAACCACACACCGCGCAGAAATGTCTCTCGGGTAAACGGGACGGCGGCGCCTGAGCGCAGGCGTAGTTCGGCGGATTAGGATTCATATTGAGATCTTCCTCGACGAGCTGAGCAAAAGTTTTGCGAAAACGTTGCTTATAATATTCTGCGGAGCGAGTCTTCTTTTTTCTACTGCCGCTTCTGTTGTCCAGCGTCTCTTGAAATTTTGGCACTTTCTTGCTCATCACTGAAACAAGAAAAAAAAAATATTATCTAGTACAAGATATTTAAAGCAGAAGATGCCTTTATACAATAAAGCTACATACCTAAGTCGGCATGTGGATCATCGTGAAAATTGTCTTGCTCCAATGCCTCCAATGCCTTCTTCTGTCTACGTTTACGTGCAGCATCGTCAAGGATCCTCTTTTGGCACGCGTCCTTTATTCTGCCGGATTCTCGAGCCATTTTCCAAGTTTTTCTCGTTCTCTTCCTTTTTATATACCCTTTTCTGCCAGTGGGAATGATATCTGATCCATCAAATCATCTACTTTCGCTTGCAAAGTTTCCAATATGTCGGCGGATATGAACAGATGTCTTTCGTCCAGATCTTGAATTATGAACTTTCTCCCTAGCGCAGACGTTTCGTCCAAGTGTAGGAGAAACTGTTTCATAGCCGCATCACTAGATACATACGAATTTTATTTCAACATTTAACACATCTTCATTACAGATACACATAGATATCATGTCCAAGAGAAAAGGAGTATCTCTCGACGAGAAACGCATGAGAATGCTGCAAATATTCTATGACAAGAAAGAATTCTTCACGCTGAAGGAACTCGAAAAGATCGCGCCGAAGGAAAAAAACATCGTGGTACAAGCTGTCAAAGATGTATTACAAGGTTTAGTGGACGATGGTTTGGTACGATCTGAGAAAATTGGTACTTCCATATATTTCTGGAGATTTCCAGGGTAAGGTTGCAGGAAAATTTAAGTTACGTCCAAATGTAGCAAAAATAAATAAATAAATAAAATACTTAAGAAATAATATTCTACAGAGAAAATATTACTGCAACAGAGCGCAGAATAGCTGAGACGAACAAAAAGCTAGTAGAGACAGAATTTAAGGTTGAGAAGCTAAGAAAAGAGATACAGAAGGAGAAGGTAAATATAAAAATCAACGTTTAATTTATTGAATTTAAATTCCATTCTTGCCCATCTAAAATATGTCGTATAGGAGCTAAAGAATGATACAGAAGAGAAGAGAAAACTACTGGAGGAGGTGGAACAGCTGAGGAAGGAGGAACAGGAGATAAAGAAACAAATTGCTAAATTCAGCGACGTCGATCCGGAAGTAATTACAGAAATGGATGAAAAAGCACAGGTATAATCAAAATAAAATAAATCTGAATAACGAATTATAACGTAACATAGATAAATATGCAGAATTATAACAAACAGCCTCATCCTCTTCTTGATTTGACGAAATTTAATATTACATGTATTGTGGCTCCAATATATTCACCGCCAGTACTGAAAATCTATAGTGTGTGCGACGTAAACTATAGATTTTCAATACTGACAGTGGATATTAGAACACAGCCTATATCAGGTACATTTTACCAAGTATAATATATTTCCTAACCTTTTTTTTTGTCTTACAGTTCTTTTTGTATGTCATTGAGAGATACTTCCGCGCGCGATTAATGTTTTTAACATTTTTATATTTTGCCTATCAAAGTATGCATGATATGTAATATTACATTTCAATGAAATCAATGTTAGTGTTAGTGTTCTCTACACTTTTTGCCCTTTTGTCATACAATAATGTATAATATTCATTTTAGAAATACAAAGATGTGGCCAATATATGGACAGACAATGTTTTTGCTATACAGAGCTGGTGCAAGAATAAATTCAGCGTGTCGGAGCAGGATCTTAATAAAATGTTTAACATTCCTGAGGACTTGGACTACAAATGAATGAATCTGATTGTTAGCTCGTGCAAAAATTTGTTGTTAATATATGATATTTTTCTATAAACGGATAGACGTACCATTCGACCAGAATGCCCTTCGTCACATTTACCATGTCTTGCGATTATCTTCTTCTCAAATTAACCGGTGTCGGGTTTACCGGTATCTCTTTGTGAACCTATTGATCTCGCGTGTTTTTCGACATTTATCATAAATTTGTCATGAATGTATCTCGTGGTATCGATGCAATAACACCGAATGACACCTGATGACACCCCAACACTGAGCGGGAGCGCCGAGCGGTACAAAACGAAGAAAATTTGATGCAAGAATGCCAACAATACGCACCAGCACACGCCAGTGATCCCTAGCCACGGTCACGGTCCTAGCACATGGCACCGTCGCCATTTTGTTGTGGAGTGATATGGCCGAACTTGGAAATCCGGGCCGGACAGGCCGGACTCACCTATTTTGACCAAGTTAGCGATCTAGTAGTGTATAGACATCTGTGACTGTGTACGAGGGAGAGAGAAATTCGGAGTCTGTTTGGTTATTCCTGGGTTAAGATTCAGCTATTATGACTTTGGTGAACATACACAGGAGTGTTCGGTGAAAATAGAGAAAGATCGAGCTTGATTTATATTTAGATAGCTTTACATATCAGCATTTAGAATTCAGTAAAATATCGAAAAAACTCTGAAAAAAACGAAAACATAAAAATGTCGGACCCCGAATTGGAAGCGTTACGACAGCAACGTCTGGCTCAATTGCAAGCTCAGTATAAGGTAAATGCGACGAAACTTTACGCAATTTTATATTTTGAAAACAACTAATGATCTGTAAGCTATGAATCATTTACTTTAATGATTATTTTAATCTTCTTGGATGGCTGAAATACATAAACCACATAATTCTACAGTGCCTATTTTACAAAAGATTATGTGTAACATTAGTAGAAACAAAACTTCATACTCTGCATAAGTTTCATAAAATAAATATTATTTAGATATATATATATATATATACATATATATTATTGTTTTAGGGTAACAATGCCAATGATAAACAAGCGATGGAAGAGAAAATTCAACAAATGGAAGAGATGAAGCATGTTATATTGACACAAGTGTTGGATCAGTCGGCTAGAGCAAGATGTAAGTATCTTGTATCTTATTATTGATTTAAGTGCGCCGTGCGGTATTAACAGTATTATAATATTTATAATATTGTACGGATAGTAAATACGCTTCGCCTTGGAAAGCCTGAGAAGGGCAAAATGGTGGAAGAAATGCTTTTAAGCATGGCACAACGCGGACAGCTACCTGGCAAACTTGGAGAGAAAGAATTGATCAACTTACTCGAAAGTGTGAACCAACAGACGCAAAAGAGGACGACAGTCAAAGTTAATATAATTTTGTAATACAATCGTGCATTTAACAAACCGTATGGTAGAAATTAACAAAATCAAAATTTCATATTTCAGTTTGATAGAAGAAGAGCGGCAATGGATTTCGACGATGATATGGACTTGTAGCACGTGTACAAATTCAAGATCATTTAAATTAGATATTGCTCATGGTTCACATTTGCAGTAAGTTACAATATCCATTACTTTTTGCTTAGTTATGTTATTTTTATGCTGTATTGAAATAAATAAAAAAACTACTAATGCCAATGGAGCAACGTTCACTCATATTGCAATTAAATATTGTATATATCTGTAGCGGTAACCTAAATGAAACAGGTTCCTGAAACGGATTGTCATTCACTTCATACTCCTTCGCTCATAATCTTCCATTTTTTCAACCAACCTCTTATGAAACAAAATTATACATCGGATCAGAGTTGAAATCGAATTCGGGACCCACAGAGTGGTCCCGACCACTCTTATAAATTATAGAGCTACGCATCACTTCTCTATAATAGTAATAATAATAATAATAATGATATATCTGGAGAAATATTTACTTTTAGATCTCTTTTTTTTATACATATAAATACATTCAGCAAACACACAATTATTTTTCATCCTAAAACAAAAATCACACGCACACTTGCAATCTACACAGTACAATAAACAACAGTTCCGCGCAACTTGCATAATGCTAAATATTATCATTATTTTATCCATACATATACAAAAGCCAATGTTTAGTTTGACGTTTAATACGATTTTACAAACTACGTGAACACGCGTGTTTAATATACAAATTTTTGATATATATTACATTCTCTTTTTGTTAAAGCTGTGTTAAAAGACAAATTTTTTCCGAGTGTGTACGTATTTGCTTAACTCGGTAGGTCGTATTGTCTCGAGGGATACACATAATTTTTTTTTATATATACACACACAACACGTAAAAGAAATCAGCATCGTGTGTACGAAGTGGATCGAAAATAAAATATATGGAATGTCGAAAATATACAATATGACGTATTGTATAAAAATTCTCGCAATCTTAAAACTGCTTTGGCAAATTTTTGTTAAGAACATATAGATACAATCATAAGCACTTATATACACTATACATAATGAAAAATGTCTCTCGGAATACTATATATCTATTAATAGCACGTATTCTTAATCATTTTTCATATGATACGCCCCAGTATTCTCTGAAAGAAATATAAGATGGCCATGTATACACGTATTCTTATGTAAAAATGAGTTTCGAGTGAAATAAAAAGACGTACCATCCTCGTCGTCGTTCGCGTCCAATAAATCTGGACAACAAATGCCGTAACATATTAACGACAGAAATCCAAACGGCAATCCAAGCAGTACCATCATCAAAATAGGATTGCCCTTCCACATTGAAGTCAGATTGGTTTTCATTTCGAACCATTTTCTATAACTACGTACTAGCCAACTGTTCCCACCGTATCTCTGAAAATGTATAAATTCTTATTATATTTAATGTATTCTTTTAGTAGAGCGAACACGTGGAAAATAAAAGATGCGAAAGTTGTGTTAAATGCTGCACCGGAGCACTCTCGTTGCGAATCTGCTCTAGGAACAATTCTATCACGTATGGAGTCAGCTTCTCTGTTTCATCGTCAGGAATATGATGGTGATTGGTAGTTGTGTTTATCACAAGCAAGCTCGGTATAGGTAGTGTCATCATCGCTATGCTGTTGACTAGATTGGGACTGCCTATCCAACCGAACTGAAAATGACTGAATAGTTGACGATGATTTAATTTCAACTCTTCCATCAAAATGCTGTCTAATAAATGTAAACAACGTACTCGTGATACTTATTTCGTTTATTCTTGATCACAGATTCAACCATATCTTTGAATTCCAGCATATCAGGCGCGACTTCTTCCAGTTGATTTTCCTCCACTACTGCTAAAACGAGATTCTTATTTGTTAAGAACAATTGATTTATGTTTCCTCTCGTTACTTTCGGGAACGTTGGAAAACGTTCCGCGTTCACCCACTTATAAAGCGTCTCGTTTACTTGTTCCATGTCGCTCAAGTTGTGTCCTACAATTCCTATATTGAATTAACATTGACACGACGCGGCTAATAATACGTGTCCCTTTTTCTTTCGATTGACTCACCGGTGAAATTATAATGCAAATTTTCCTTATATACGAATAATGCCGGAACATTATCTACCGGCGCATGCTTGTTCACGACGCTCGGATGAGATTGATAGAAAAATGCATGCGCTTGAAATATATTCGCAGTCTTATGATAGAGTTCCTGCATTTCATTAAACGCAGATACGTGAATTACAATTTCGAGCTATCTTCACAATATATGTTACGAACGTGCGAAAAGAGTTTTACCCATAAGAATCCAGATCTCTCGCCTACGTATAAGAAATAGAGATCGCGTTCCTTCTTTATGGCGTCGAAACTCTGCGTTTTCGTTATTTCCTGTACAGGAGGACCGCTTAATCTCAAAGCGAATTTTACTATCTCCTCTCTGGTTCGATCGCCTTCGTATACATATTTCTGATCACCCTTTAAACTGCGGGAAGAACCAAAAAACGTTATCGTACCAGTATTGCACGGTGCAGCTGTAGTGCCAACGACTCTTCTACTTACAATAGAATAGTGGGAAATCCTTTAATTTTGAACGCACTCGTTATGCTGGTAAATCTAGTGCAGTCCACTCGTCCCACTCGTACGGACGTTGCGTGCAAGTTTTGAGCGACATGAGACCAGATCGGTTCCAATCTTTTGCAGTGAGCGCACCATGGTGCGTACATCTGTGGAAAACAAAAAGAAACGAAAATAGTTGTACCTCCTAAATGACGTAATGACGTTTTTGCGAGAGCATTAAGCTTACCATAACTAGCCACTGGCCATCTTGGTGCGCATCCAGAAATCTGCAGAGAAATACGTATTGAGTAACACATCGAAATAATTGGAGCAGTGGAGCAGTGATATCTCTTACCTATCGCTCAGCTCGAGTACGCGCGACCCTGCCGTATGCGTCAAAACCGCTGAAAAAAAAAACTAAAATGTAATTAAACGATAAAGGAGCTCGAGTAAGAGATATACTCTTTCGCTGGGATAGCATGACGGTGTCGTGTCGTTTCGAATCAAATTGAGAAACTTATTGGATTTTATCATGAATACATGTGCAATAGTTGATCATTTTACTATAGATAAAAAAAATGTATCGCAAACTCCGAGAGAGCGCAAACAAATTAAATCAAATTAAATTTCAAACTCTATAATATAATTCGCCGATATAATTCGATTATACTTGGAGTACGGGAGACTCATGGTAATCGAATTAAACGATTTATCAAGCGAATCGTCCGTTATCGATCAGCCGATAGGCGAAATTACGAATTACGACGCGTAAAAGCGACCGGGTCAAGGGTCGCGTGATGTATCTCGCCCGATGCAACGCGACGGAAGCGAGGAAAGCGGTTCCGGCGCGGTAAGTCGACGGGCCCCGGTCGCTTACCGTAGAGAAGCGCGACGAAAGAGACCCGCGTCAGGGAAACCATTCCGTTCGTCGAGTCGAGACGTCGGGGAACGAAGATCGGGCTCCTTCATCTGATCGCGCGGCAACACAGGCGTGCCGAACGAGACTGCATAATCGCTGACGCTCGCTAACAGACGTTGTGACGCCTCGCCGTCCCTTTAACTCGTCACGCGGAACGATCGGGTGCGGGTGCACGCCGCGTCCATCTTCCGTCCCATCTTCCCGACTGTCGCGCGCGACGCGCCTCGGTCTCGGCCTCGGCGCGCGGTTCGGCTCCGTCGCACCCATCGTTAATTCCGCTACTGATCAGCCGTCCCCCCTTTTACCCACCACTTCTCTCGCACTTTCCGCTTTTAACTTTTAAAATAGGACGAGGATATGTACTCGAGCCTTGGGAAAAGAAGGAAGAGGAGTTATCACATACATACAACTGCAGGGAAGGTGCAAATAAAGGGAAAAAATGACTCGAATCCCTCTAATTTCAGTCATTATAACTAAACGATATAAATTATAGATAAATGATTATGTTGAGTATACAAATTATGTAGGGTAAAACGCGACGCGACGTTCTCTTGTTGTGTATAATTTTATTAATAAAAATCTTGTAATACACATATCATTGGTATAAAACATTCACATGATTTTCAAAACAAAAAATATATGTATAGAGAAGGAATATAGTAGCCGAGTGTAATATATTCCTTCGCGATAGAGCGCAGCTATCTTTACATTCCATAGGTGTAACAAGTATTTTGTACATTTGTAACGAACGTAGCGGCAACACTTAACTAAGTGATTTATCATTAGATGTCTGTCAGACGCGTCGCGCACTCTTCGTATAATGTACAAAAAGAATCAATGGAACTGATCTGACTACGTCCAACATTACACTCATACGTAGGACCCAACGGCGACTTCTCTCTCGTTTCTTGTCGACGATCCACATATGTCTAGGTCCGTCGTTTTCCTCGCGCTCGTTGCCGATCCTTCGAGGCCTACGCGCACAGATCTCGTGAGAATACGTGCTATAATCACAATGTCGCCAAACGTGACGCGAACGTTTATGGCACTCTTATTCTACTTAGCATTCTCTTTCCGTACGTGTATATGTCATGAATATGTTACAATAAAAAGTTGCTCGGCCTGACCGGCCGCGATCGAAAAACATTTGTTTGAGCGAACGTGACTGATGGTGATGATCTTTCTTCGATAACGATTTAGTAAATTTTCCCATTCTGTGGCCAACACGGGATTAACACGCATCGGAATCTTGCCGCCACTTTTGTACCGCTTCTCGGCGTGCATCGGGTACTAACGATGATCGCATACCACCCAATACATTGCTGGTCGCTTCGGTGGCCAGAATAATTGGTTTCACGACTGTCGGTGGAATTTGTCGCAGTACACCACCGACCGCACCGACCGTGCCCTTGTGCTCGTGTTCTTCACTAGCCACGCGAACCAGTTGAGTCGCAGTCTCGCCTAAGCCCTGAATAAATATTACAGATATGAGATTAGGATTTCTTTTAATTATTATTTAATTATATTATTAAAGATTAGGATTTCTTTTCTCTAGAAACAGAGAAGAGGCAAGAGGCAGCGAGCAAGAGAAAATAAAGAAAATAGAGAGCCTGTGGAGGATAAGAAGTTTAGAACAACGTCGAAAAAAGTTGATTGATGATCCGGTAACAGCAGCAGCTATAACCGTTATAACCCTAAAGAAAACTGTATAAAGATAAATAATACAAGTTAAAATTATTTATTATTTTTCAACGATTATTAAAGATATAAAACATAAATACTTTACTTAATATAATATATCTCTTATTACTTACAAGGGAACCTCGCAAACCCGAAAATTCGTTTTTGGGCCGCAACTAAAAATTTCTAAATTCATCTATTTACCCCGTTCCCCCTATTTGTGTGTAGTTTCATCAAAATCAGAGAATTTTCGAGTTTTCGAGGTTTCCTTGTTAGTATATAATATAATTTGTCATGTATTTGTCGTATTCACCTCTTTAACTAATGTGTAAGCATTAGCCACCCCCTCTCGAATATCCAGTGGCTGATTATATCTTTTTCGACGACCCTTCTGTCCTCTGATCTTGCATCTCACACTGGGGCCAGGACTAACTATGTCGTACGCAGTCTCGGCCGTGGTCTGTAATGCCTGCACGATCCTACACGTCAATTCTAACGCAGCCATTGCGGTACACGTTGTAAAACTATTTGCTCCGCGTTGTAATCCACGGACAATTCTCCCGTCTCTCTGATACTGTTCGATTGGTAACCAAAATAGATCACGTATCCCTTGAACTACAACAATGCAATCAAATATCATGTTCAAGTGTATAATTTTTTAGTTAGGAAAGGAAAACTGTGACTCAGAACTAGCACGCAAAAGATGTACGGTACAATAAATACTTGTAAAAATAACAATAGTTATTTAATTTACGAGCGAATCAAATCATGTACTCACACAGCTGTACTACAGAGTACATCGGTCCCACGCCACCAAGTAAACTTGGGAGTTGATTCTTCTTGATATCCTGCAACCATTCCGAAACTAGATATGTAAAAAGTTTGTCATAACCCAATAATCCGTGCCTGTACGACATTCTCTTCAGTCTTAATTCAGAGCAATTTAGTTCCGCCAAGCCCATTAGCAGGCCCGCCAACGGTCCATGAGTGAAATCCACGCGTTTCCCATGATAATCCAGTCTGATGAGAACTTCTGGGCCGAATACAATGTTTCTAAAGACAATTTTAAATCGTTAGTACTCAACGTTGCACGTTCCATTCAATGAAATAATAAAAATTTCAATCACGCACCTAAAGTATATCGGTTGACTATCATCGTGGACCTGGTGGACAGTCTTTGTTTTAGTCTTGTTCTCCCTGAATGTCAGCTCGTCTTCCAAGAGTATCAACAGATTCTGATCAATGATATTATTCTGCGACATATTCATCATCGTGTCATTCGTCAACGCATCATCATTCACGCTCATAATGGGCGGATGATGCGTGGGTGTTCCTTGTTTCGATACGGGGGTGGATTGCGAGCTATTAGGTGTGCTAGAGCTTTCTTGGCTTCGCTTCGATCCACCGCCTAGTTCGTTAAAAAATTGTATTAAGAACAGTAGGCTATCTTGGTCTATGTTCAGTCGCAGTGGCAGTAGACTAAGTTTCAAACAACATTCTTGGGCACTTAATCTGGGATCCGGCCTTACGTGAACTGCCTTCATGGTAAACATAATAGAGTGAGACTGCCTTGGCCTCGCTTCGCTGCTGTATTGATAAAGGAATTTGTTTATGTGCGACGATGCCAGTCTATCTCTTACTTCAATCTCGTGCACCAGTAGCACCTGCCTGGACGCTTCCCGGGTGTTCTCCGGATAGACCTCGTGCTGGAAGCGAACCTTGCTCAATTGCAGTTCCATTAGCACGTCGTGCCGTCGACCCGGGCCACTTAGTGTGTGCCAATCGATCAACGCGTCGTTGCTTCTCGTTGCACGCGGCGAATTCGGCACGCTGCCAAAGTGCACCTCGTTCGGACTAGACTTGTTGAAACCTACAGCACCTATAGCCGATCTACTTCTATTGGATAGAAAAGAAAAAGAGAGAATATAATATATATATATCTATATACTTATGAAGTTGTTTTGATAATTTAACTTTAAAACTTTGGACCTCGTACCTTCCATGCGTCATATTACTGCGAACGTTGTCATTGATGGTCACGTGCTTAGCAGACTGCGGTTGAGAACCATCGAAATCATTGCCACCGTACATATGCCATATCAATGTCATCTCGCAGAGGGTGTATTTCAATACAGGTGCAGGATAGTTTGGTGGAGTCTGCAATAGATCGGTTTTGCCGACCGGCACGGAAAAGTGATTATCCACTATTCTTAATGGTTCTTGGCACAGCGACCGAACCTCAGGTACTCCATAGCGCGGTATTATTCCTGTACCAGCTTCCTCTCCCAAGATGCAAAATTCATCGTCGTCGTCGTCATCTTCTACACCGCATGCGATCGTTTTACCGCATTCTTGCGAACTCTTTTGCGTCTCTGCCTCTCGCGTAGCGGCACAGGAATCATCAGGAAAGAAAAATTCAACCCGATTTTCTGTCATTGGTATCTTCTCGCTTTCGTTGCCACTCTGAGTTGTCGTTCCCTTCACAGTCTCCTCCAACGCATCCTCCATTAAACTATAGACTCGCTCAACTTGACTCCTGCTAAGAGTGTTGATGCTCTCGACGCCCAGAAGATTTTCCTCGTATCTCGTAGACGTTGGTGGCACAGTGGGAATACTCTCGGTGCTGCTGCTGTTTATCACGCTATTCGGCTGTTGCAAATCGCCATCGTTGGCGATGTAAGTCAGTAGTTGCATGAGAGCGCGACCCGAGTCCGAGCATGTGCGTACGTGCAACACATTGTTGCTCGCCCGGAGATCGACTCGCGGCACACCGCCGTACATCCTCTCGTTCAGGCGTAGCGACAACTCGAACAGGCCGAAATTCATCACGCACACGTAATTCCGTTTTAGATCCACCGACTTTTCGCGCAGCTTGTCCGATATGAAGAGCGCGACATCCTCCGCGATAAAACGCAATGTTGACGTATTAGTCTGCGCCGTAATGTTGCTCGACACGCTGAAATTACCGAGGGTCACAACAGACCTTAGCGGCAGGTGAAGCGGTCTATAGTCGATCGCGCAATCCCACAAGTGCAGATGCAGCTCAGTCAGAACACCCGGCGGTGAATAACCGGCGACAGGATGATCCGCTACATCCAGACAATCCATCAATTCTGTGAACCACGAAGTAGCGGCGGAACACATTCGGTGCCTTAATGTAGCATTGCTTATACCTATCGCAACCCGGAAAGTCTTTATACGATGCGTCTGATGGGCCGCTTGTATCCTCACCGCGACTGTCACCATGTCCTTGTCGTTAGGATTCGCTGTTATATTGCTACCGGATCCGCTACGATATATCGTTCTCTCGCAATATCGTGGCCTAACGCTATTGATACATCTCAATGGCGGTGTCCGCGACGGGCTTGTCGTCAAACCGCAGTGATCCAGCGATACGCTCCTCATCATAGCGCAAGCGTAGCTCAGATTAGCATTCCCCTTGTATGCCGTCACGGAAAATATCGTAGCATCCTCTAGTCGTATGATTAATTCTCCTTGTTGCCCGGGTATAACGTTGCGCAAAGAATCGCGCACGGGAGTGTACATAGACAGAAGACCCTGATTGATGCTTAGAGTCATTGCCAACTTGCTCTGTGCTTTTTTCGATGACATTCTTTGTGCCTCTTTGTGACTCTTCTCGTTCGTTGTAGAATGGAATATACCTCCCTCGTCTGAGTCGGAGTCGGAATTATACTGGATCCCACTTTTGCACATGCTGAATCTGTAAATGATACACATTTAATGTCTGAGAATTCTACGAAACTCTACAAACTTCTTCTAAATATTTTAGGGTACTACTTAGGATAAGTGGATTCCTGTAAGAGAGTAGATGCTAGGTCGAGGCCAATGTGATTTTCCAGATGAGTGGTGTATTTGGGCCTGGGTGCCGACGGCTCCCATAGGAACAAATCGGTATTGAATCGATTGTAGAGCTGTTCATAAATGCGTTTAGACGGTATCTGGACGGAAGCACAAGGTAAATTGATTTCCAGCTGTAGTCTAGAACCGTGTATGCCTTCTTCGATAAATTCCAACATTTCTTGTCGATTTCCAGGTATAATTAGTTCTTCACCGTCGCTATTAGAATGTTAAACAATTTTTTTTTAATTATAAATCAATAAAAATTTATTTAAGAATATTTGAAAAAGCGTGTCGCTGACCTTTGTTCGTTTTTCTGACCGTGTTCGTGAGATTTCGAGTGGAGCGTGTCGGATTCGCGCATGATTCGTCTAGAGGTGAACGGGGAAGGCGCATGTTTCGGAGTTTTCTCCAAGGTATCATCTAAAATCCGTTTATCGTTCTCTACTTCTTCTTCAGAACTATCCTCCAATGGACCACCGAGACGTTCTGGATACACAATGACCACTACTCTCGCCCAACCAAGATCATCGTTGACTTGCTGATACGTCGCAGTATCATTCTTCTCGTCAGCTGTAGCTAAACCGATTTCGATTGGCGCATCGCCCTCGGTTTCTATGTACAACAACGATAGCCGCCGACATTGCAGTTCGTGCCTAGCTATATAATGAGATCGGCTATCCATAGTAGAGTGAACTTGTGCATCTGTCATCTGTACTATCATATAGTCAGATCTCACAGATCTTTTCCACCACGGCGCACGACTCATATCGTGTAGTGGTCTTAAATCTGGTACAGGAAATCTATATAAAAAATAATATATATTATACAAATCAGAATTATATATATGTATGTAAATATGTATGTATATGAAATATTATTTTGTTTGATGTAGTACCTCAGTTTGATCGTACATGACGACGAAGAGATTTTGACGTCTACTCTAGAATCTGGCAGTGTTGCACTGTCCACAGCTTGATCAAATAATGTCTGTTGATTCTGAAAGATATATCATGGCTTTTAATAGTATTCTATCAATTGAAATAGGGCTATAGAAAAATGTCACAAATATAAAAAAAAAAAAAAAAAAAAAAATCTTTACAGATTTGTTAATTACACTTACAGCATCTCTAGCATTTATTACAGGATTGCAAGTACATATTGGCTGTGGATTAAGAATAGCAGATATTCTATCTACAATAGTAATGTCTACTTCGCCTCTGCAGGGTTCCATTTGAATGCTGGAAAGTGAAAATAGCATTAAAATATTAACAAATTTAATTTGTAATTTATTATGAATTGATAAAATTGATTAATACTATTTTATTAATTTCAAATAATCCACGAGCAAGAATATGTATAGAAATATTTAAATAATTATTGTTACATTGTTTAATTTAAAGATAAATATTTACTCAAACTCTGTGCGTGGATGTGCAAATTTCGTCATGTGAGTATGTCGAACAGCCTTTTGGGTATATTTAAATCTCATCCTAAAATCAGTTTTGTTGGAAAACCCAATATTAGTTGTGTTCTCTTTCGTGAACGCTAATAGCTCGATGAATTCCATCGATGGTGTTCTATACGAGCTAGGGTTGTTGGAGTCAACCAAACATTCTACAACTTCCAAACTAGCTAAAGTCAAGCTTCCTGATATCGCAGAGTATTGATTAGTTGTCTTTTCACTGCCCTCGACCACTAATGGCGCAGCTAGTAATCTATAATCAATCGGAACTTTTAGTTAACAGTCTAGAACAGTCTACTAGGATTAATCTATCATTTATACTAATATACCTAATATGACTAAGTCGACAAGCCTCTGTAAGTGATTTTGACGCTGTATCAAAATCTTTACTTCCATAGCCACCCATAGCAAACGTTCCTACGTGCCTGAAAAATTCCTTCGCTGCGTTTCTCATCTGTCTTACACTGCTAGAAGTTAGACCGAGTTGTTCCACGCATGGCGTTAGTATATCTTCGTGCAACAGAATTAGAGCGACGGAAGACACCCTTATGTGAAACTGGGTAGTCTCAGCGGACGTGTCGTTGTCTATGTTATGTCTGTGTCTATTATGTCTCGGCAAATTCGTTGCCGAACTTTTCGAACTAATGCTGCTGGTCGATATGCTGCCCTCCATACTGAAATTATTGCTCGTGATCGAATCACACATCGACGAAGATCCCGGCAATTTCATTGGTAGGAATTCATCCTCGTTGTCAGATTCGTCCACAGATCCAGTAGACCATCCTTGAGCATATCGTAAATCCTGTAATAAATAAAATATCTTTACATTACAGAAATGCATCGAAGCATTAACAAATTTTCGTACCGTAGTCTTCAAATCTTGCATAGGATGTGTTTGATGGATAAGCTCGCGTTCTATACGATTAAAATCACTGCTAGCCATAGGTTTTTCCACATATCTTCTCGGAACAACATTACTAACGTCTTCTAGATCTGGAGATGCTAGGCCATGCACTAATTCTAATAAGACATGAAGCTGCCTAGGACTCAGGAACAAAGTAAGTGCTCCCAGAGTAATTTCCAGTTCTACCTAAAATTTATATCATTTTTTCATTTTAAAAGAAAATAAATACCTGGATTATAGGAAGAAAAGATATATTATTTTAGGTATAAATACTACGGTGAAAGCGCGTGCTCCTACCAAAGATGGCACCGCACTACGTAACCGCGTTTTCTCGCGAGCACTCGACCGCACCGACTTAAGTATATACACAACGTCGACAACAATATTCATTGCCCCGATCGACGCTCCCACCGACGATCTCATCGGACGATAAGAGCTAGACGGGCATATACATGACTCATACTCCACACATCCAAACATATACTCCTCTCCATCATCCACGATCGACATCGACATACGTACCCCCAAAATTCATAAAAGTTCATCTCACCTTTGGTCCCGATATTCCTTCGCCTTGTTTCATTTTTAATCTCACTTCTTGTCTACCTGCCAGCTTAGCAAACATGATGGGATTTGATTCGTTCGAGTTGTTAACAGCATTTCCTTCTGGAGGAGTATGCATAATGCTCTGCGTAGGAGACATTTGTGCGGAGATAAACAGACTGTCCGAGTTCTGTTGTTATAGAAAGAAAAGAGGCAACGTGTGAAACGTATATCCTTTCTATTGCCATATCAGTTGAAACCCAGATGTTTACACTTACCTTAGAATCGGGAGTAGAGCACGTGCTAGCCAACATACTTCTAGAAAACGTTCTTGCGCGCGAGGGAAATTCGTCGGTATGAAAAGTCACTCCCTCCATGTAAAATCGCTTAGTGGAGAACGCCGAAATAATGTAACCCTTCGCACATTCGTCGGGATCTAGAGACGTATTACTGGGATCTAATCCAGCTTCGTCAGAATATTCAAGATTTTGTATCGACACTTCGATCGCTACTCCCGTGGAAGAATTCAACGGTACGTGTTCCAAACGTATCACAGTATCGATAAATCTCACTTTGACCCGAGACAAGACTGAAATACACAAAACGATAAAGAATTCAGTTTTTTTATTTATTTATTTATTTAAAAGTAAAAGCGTACAATGTAAACTAAGTGTCTTACTTGAATCTATAGTCTGCGCAAACAGTTCCACCGCCTCTAAGGGCTGAGCATTTCCCACATTGGCCGCGTCTTGTTGCAGACACTCCTGAGCGAGTTGCATACTGGACGTCATTGAGCTCCACATAGACTCGAACATCGATGTCCCAGTTTCGATTCTTTGTCGCGGTTGTACCGTGAGTCTGAGACCCTTGACTTCCACGTAACTCGCTTGACTAAGTAACGCCGACCACGGTATACTAATAGATATCTCCATTATAAAACCGTCGACGAAGTCCAGCGGGAGATGTTGTTGCTCCCCCATCTCGTTGAGCGCCTGTCAAAGATTAACGTTTATTATTATTATTTTTTTACAGAAATATTTCTCGATTACAAGTGCTATACAATTAAAAGAAGAATCATATTCAAATAAGTGGAACAGCCATTGTGTAGAATGCAAATAAGAAAAATCGGCGCTCTCATTCCCCGAGTAAAGACGTGTTCGATCGCATTAGGAAATATCGGAAGAAATAGAGTCTCTGTATAAATTAGCATTTATTAACATTCAAAATGACTCGCACTATGACACTGTGTTTAATTAATACACGCACAGAGGTTGTAACCAACTGCGTTCAACGATTTATTATGCTCGCTACAATAGTTACGGCGTTATTGCTTAGATATATCTATCAACAAGAAAAGAAATCTACGTGTAAAAATTTTTGCATTAAAAAAAATAGAAGATAAAAAAAAAGTGAGAGTATTTGTTAAAAATATAATAGAAGAATATAGAATATAGAAATCAAAATTAATAAATGTATTACGTCGACATGTGATATTTATTAATCTTTTTTATTAGTCATGTATATTTATCACATTTAATTCATGCGTACATATATATTACTTATGTGCGCACGTACACTACACACACACGCACACAGAGTTACGTCGTTGTTTTCTGGATTAACCATTATAAACTAATCTATTCTCATTTTCTGTCATATTTGATATGTATTATTCATGTATTATTCACCGTTGCAAAATATATAAAAAAATCGCGCGTAATCGTCCCATGATTAAACACGCGACGTTTGCAGGGCATTTAAATATTAAAACCACGATCAGCTGTTTGAGTGTAACTCGAACACGAGATATTCGCAGCGCGACGTAAATACATGTATGTATTAGTATCATCGGTGTCGCGCGTGACGGGAATGTGCGCGTTATACTTATTGAGTCAGCGATGCGATCTTATCTTTCTGGAGTTTTAGCCGAGGAAGGAAGAGAGAGAGAGAGACAAAGAAAAGCAAAGCAGACGTATGTACCTGCACGTCGAGGCTGACGTTGACGACCCGTCCCGTGCCATTGTACAGATCGACGGTCAACTGATCCAGCGTGAGCTCCTCGGAGAATTGGCCGAGGTAACGCTGCAGCAGGTACCTGCACGCCCGCTTCTTGATGTCCGCCGACCATCCGAACCAGGACATCTTGCTCATCTCGCTCCCGATCGCCGGAGCGCGCGCGTTTCTCACGCGTGACGCGCGATCCTCTACTCAGTCTACTCTATCCCGAGTCCCGAGGAGTGTTCCGGCGTGTCGCGTCCGTAACGGGGTATCATCTCGTCGCGCCAGGCATACCCCTCGGGCGTCGGGCGTCCGGAACGTATATATCCGCGCTCTCCGACCGTGTTGTTTCAACTTCAGCAGCGTGGCGCAAGGTCCGCGCGAGTGAATCTCGATCGCATCCCCCTGACACGCGCACCGCCCGCGTCCATGATGCCGCGACCCGCGACGCGACACGCGACACAACGCGCAATAGCACGCCTGGTCGAGATCCGGTCTCCGCGATCGATCGAGGCTTGATCTGTGCTAAAGATCTGAATTCTGAGATCGCCCCGCTTCTCTCGATCGGACGATTCCTCGGGCCTCGGGCCTCGGGCCTCGATGTTTCCGTCGCACACCAGGCGTCGCGATGTTCCTCCCCCTCAAGCCTCCTTGCTCCTCCTCTTCCTCTTCCTTCCTTTCGTTCGTGCTCGTTCGTTCTTATTTGATAGCCGTCCTCCTATGAGAACGTAGCGCAGCGTAGTATATTGTAGTTATGTAGTACACACATACCAGACGGAAAATGCATCAAGTTGCAGCTAGTTCACTGACATATATACGGTGAGCTAGTTGCAGCGATTTTTCCCGACCTCCGAGCTCCGAGTCCGAGTGCACGCGTCGCGTCTCGCGTCTAGATACCGTCGTGCGTCGTGATCGTTGGGTGAAAAAATTCAACATTCAATATTACGTGCTCCTTTACTCCACCTGCGTCGAGGTGCTGCTTCCGATACAGGTGTTCGCGCACGTCGAGCACACGTGCGTCTAATTATGCTGATCGGATTATTTAACCTTTACCATCCTGCGCGTGGATGCCAACGTTTTTTTTTTTTTAAATGTAATAATTTTTCGGAGAAAATACGTGCTCGCAGAGATCATTATAATCTATTGATGCAAGAATTTGTCCCATAGAAAGTGCGTAGGCGCTGATCGGTATGAAAAATGGAGTTCCTGCCTCAAGTCTTTGTCTGCATGCTTTATGTTTTCCAGTTGTTCTACAAAGACTTATTTATCAGACCAAATATATTTCATTATATTCGTGAGTTTCCTTAATTTTCTTTTCGAGATCAAGTTTGCCTTCGAAATTTGTTTGCTCAATTATTAATTATTAAGTACATAAAATCACATAAATTTCATTTTATGTACTTATATATATATATATCATATGCGTACATACACGATTAGAAGCGGCTGCTAGTGCTTGCTCTACTGCGCATGCGTAGTATCTCTCAGCTGTGCATTGACATTCGTCGCTGACGTCACGCCGTGACCGCGGCGGCGCCGGCGGCGGCGGCGGAGATCAGCAGAGCGTCTGCGCTCACGTCCACGGATCACGGATTATTTTGACAAGCGCGAGTACGCTACGCTCTCGCCGCCGACTCGAGGGATCTGTCAATAGTGTCAATAAGGCAGACGGGATCCATGGATTTCGGCTTTCATCGTAATCGCGTATGATTTCGTCGGTACGTTGGACCGTGAGACCGTGAGATAGTCTCGTTCGATCGTCCCGTACGTAAGACCTGGAGGTAATGGCACTGTCAAATATCTTGCTGCTCAGCCAAATAGCGGGCTACGTCGTAGCCCTTATCCTGTCGCTCTGCATCATCGTGCCTATGAGTCTGCATCAAGATGAGTTTAGGTAAGGTCCCAGGATTGGGAAAGAAGTTACCTTTTTAAAGTAACTTTTTCAAAGTCGCTCGTTACCAATTTAAAAAAATAACCCGGTCCCATTATCGTTATTAATTTTGAAAAGTAACTCCGTTACCGTTATCGTTACTATTTTCGTTACTTTATTTAATTTAAACGAAAAACTAAATTTAACCAAGTCCAACCGTACGTCTATTTGTTGAAGATAAGTTAAAGATAGAAAGTTACGATTTTAATGGTTTAAAAAAAATGAACTTATTAAATTTTACTAAAATTCTTTATTAACTTTCAATAGGTGCTGATCCGTAGTCCGTAGATCAGCTTTATTAACCCTAGCTAGCCACACTTATTTTCGAATCCTTAATTCGCCGTACTCCAGTCCATGAGACTGCTTTGTCGCATTGTCATTTTCATTCTACGTAATATTTTCAAGCTTGTACTGTAGAAAAATTGGTAATACAGACTTTGAATAAGACGTTTATGATAATATCAGATCAAGAAAATTATTTGAATTTAAACTGAACTTATTGGAAACTAGAAAATTATGTTGATATGTGAAAATTAGAAAACTGAAAAACGTTGAGCGGTCCACTGGATCGGAGTGTGCCGAGCTAGGGTTAACTTTTAGTAGATGCTCCATCGTATCATTGAGAAGACATATCGAGAACACATTCTTTGTTTTGTTAATATGGAACTTCCAACGCTGAATAAGCGCTCTAACAAAGCACTACTTGGAATAATAAAGAGTTTATTGCTCATTGGGAGACTTTCTTTGGATCTGACATTTAATAGATCTCGAAAAATCTGGAAAAAAAGTGACTTCTAACGGTAACACGTTACTTCCCAACTATGACAAGACCGCATTCAACATTGTGATAATCATGACGTTCTCTGTTACGCCCTACGAAGCTTATTTTGTTTCCTTCATTTTCCAGGGGACACTGTCTTTTGTTTTCGACCGGTGTCTGGCAGGAGTCGGATGGCCAGATTGTGGTAAACTGGGCGTCGCAGGCGTACTGTAATTACACAATATTCGTAGGTCTGATCCTCCTCGTAACGTCGTCGATACAGATCTACCGGTTGTCCCTGTTCATGTATCGTAGCGAGGACAGCTCGTTTCTCTCTGCGTTTGTGGACGTTGTGACTTCCGTCATTCTCACCACCGTCACCTTGATCGCGGCGATTATCGTAACTTTAGGTTTCATGACGTGGTGCCAATGTATGACCAAGAGGTTCCCGTCGTGCGAACTAGCGGCTGGAAATGATATTGACAAGGCTGACGGTATCGACACGTCAGGTTTCCATATCGAACTTGGCGCCGCCCAATTTGGCATTTGGAGTAGCCTGTCAATTTGGGTCGGTTTGTCGGTTTTCGCTGTCTTGAAACTGTTGAGGTACCATCAGTTAGAGAATATGAAAGTTTCCATGTATAGAGAAAGGCAAAGATTAATAGAAGCTACCACGAGCAATCAGCAGCAGGAGCCGAGTTAAAAAAGTTTTGATAGCCTAACATTTTGTTTCTCAGGGTAAGTTTGATAATAACATGTGCATAATAATACGTTGTGCTACGTTGTAAAGACGAACGAGATATATAAATTCTCAAAGAACATATATATTTGCGTGAATAGTTACATTATATACGAAATTTTTCGTTACCTTCAAAACGCACAGAGTCACTGCGAGCATTATATCGATGTAATGTGTACTATTCTGTGTTCAGAGCCAATCGATTTCACAAAAATAGTAGCAATCTTTTTATTGAGAGATCAACATACTGTAAAATATTTTTAGAACATCACAAATAATATTACAGTTCTTGTTTACAATTGAAGAAAAGTTCTTCGAAAGCCTCGGCATATATCGTTATTTAATCGGATTTTTCTAGGTTTAGGTATATAAGACTTGTATAAAGATCGTGTTAACAATGTATATATTACAATATAGTCAATATATTTCCAAGTATAATAAACAGATATAAGTATAAATATAGGAATATAATAAGTAAATTAAGTAATGGAAGTTAATAATCGCATCTTTTATATTTTCCTGATTCTATTATATATACATACATACATACGTATGCACAGTGAGAATTTTTTGTTATATTTTACTGTTAAATTTACTACAAACTTGGGACAACTTGGCAACCAAGGAATTTTTGAAATATACAAAAGACATTTTACAAACAACGCGCAACGTGATAAAAATTACCAAGCAGATTATTATTGAAAAATTCTTGAAATTTTCTAGATATATTTTAGTAAAATTAATTAAACATATTTTATATTTTGATGTAATAGATATTAATATTTTTTATTATGGTAGATATTAATCAGAATAACTCACATAGAATTCTTCGTACTACATTTTGTTCCACAACTACCATGATTTTGAGGGTGAATTCTAAGAGAAAATTCTCTCTCTGTGTACACACACTATATATATATGTATGTAATTTATAATAGATCCCAGATTATAAAAATTAAGAATATAAAATGAAAGATATTTGTTGTACGATGCTTACATTTTGTTATTTAATGCTCTTTAAGTATATCTATTATAAAGCGCGAGTATAATTTTGTATATAAATTACAATACAGAATACATATATCGAAGTTATCCTGATGCAGCCTGACGTTTTTTTTCTTTATTATTCTAACCTCTTTTTTTAACCTGGAAAATTGAGCGTATATAAAATTATTGTAACGTATCTCACGTGTTGAATCATATAAAATGTATTTAAGGTATGGAAATAGCATGCGGCAAACTGGATCAAGATACTTATGTGTTCATACTTTTTTGCACTCTCCGAGTGTGCTTCTACGGCTGCCTGGCGGACACTTTCTTGGGGGAACATCAATTATTATGAAAGGTGCAATGGCTGTTTGTACGCATTCCAATTGAAAGTTAGTTTCGTTTACACCTATTACCCCATCGGGCGCACACGGACCGCCTATTGTTCTAAGTGGATAGCATGTACCGTTATACGGTACCACGCCATCTTCCAAGCAAGGATTCTCCACGCAACGAGGAACCGCCTCGTCCTCAGGAAGAATGACATAATTTTTTGGCGGACAAGGACCTTGTCTATAGGCTTCGTGGCAGGAATTGTTCAACGGAAAGTACAAGAATCGAGATCTACAATCGCACACCCAGGAATCCTTCGCACCGTCTCCCGGGTAGAGAAGCATGTCTTTCGGGCAACTATCCGGTATTGATACGGGTAGACGTTCCGTTATCATCTGCAAGGATGATTATATAAGAAAAGAAAATTAGCTTCTTGTATAATCTTATATTAATATTTGTATTACCGTGGAGTTGCCACCGCTGACGTGGGAAGTTTCCTCATCAGTTGGAAATGATAAATCCTGACCCCATATCACATAGTTGTATGCGAAAAACATAAAACCGATGTACAAATACTTCATCCTCACTATTGGAGATCGAGTCGCTGAGAAAATTATATATTTATAAACGTGGTACAGATGGAGAAAATAGGAAAGACTTTTTAATATGTACGTGCGACACCGAGTATAAAGGTCAATTAAAGCTAGAATGTAATATGAACAAATATATCACTAGTAACTGGTTAGATAATAATGACAAGATAGTATAAACGTTAAACATTTCCATCTGCTTCCGAGCACTTTCAATGGCAAACTAAAAGAGAGATAAAACAGCGAGATATATATATATATATACACGCTCTAAAGAAACCGCCCATTATAATCTGAACAGTCATTAGTGATATAATTATGCACTAATAGCTACACTCTGGATCTAATTGATACTTTTAATGTTAAGATGAATGTTTTCCTTACAGTTCTTAGCAATACGCTGTCCTTTTCTGATAAAGAAAGAAAAAATAGGAATATCACACACGTGTTAATAACTAATAACCGAGAACTTGTGAACTTGAGGGAGATGTTCTCTAAGATTCTCTCGAATGCATACGCGCAATTACACTGAGCCGGTGTAACGGTGACTATGATGTTTCAAGGCTAACCACTGTCAAACAAAAGGAAATGAAAGAGTATACTGACCAGAGCGATAATCTTCACCAATGCATAAGCGTGTGTGTTGATCTTCGAGAAAGCCGCTTACGTATGTATATAGGAATTGAGAAGAGAAGGAAGAGAGAAATCGATTATAATTCTGACAAAATATGGTTTGCAACTGTAATTCGAGATGATTAAATCGCTCACAATAAGATGGTAAGGAGCAACGCTAAAACGCAAATTTTTTAAAAATATTGAAATGTTGAAAGGTTTCCTTATATATAATCATATATTTATAATACAAGAAACGTACTACAGAATTATTCGTTTAAAAATTCCATTTCATTATGTGCACCTAAAGAATTGTTCATAGAACCTATGAAATAACTCTCTTTGTATTCTGGCCAAGATTTGAATTCTTTAAAGAGTTCCAGAATTTGTATTGGCGTTAAGTCTCCAAATTGCGTATATATCGTATAATCTTTGGCTATTAGTCTAATTCCACAGTCTGGCACCCATTTTCTAGAGACAGACAGAACAATATAATGTAATTTGTAAAGTAAAGAGAGATATATATTTGAAATTATTTGTAAGAGAAAAATATTTGCTGGAGAAACCATATATAGATTTTTCATCATACTCACTCTAATGCGGGTATCACTCTGGTACGGCGTTTTTGCAGATGATGCTTCACAAAATAAGAAAATGTCACCCAATCTTTTCGTGACAATTCTGAGTAAAGGTCAGCTTTAGGCTCAAGTTTTATCACATAAATTTGTTCGTAATCTTGTTTTATCGATAGTGCATTATTCATAGATTGACGTTTCTTTTTTGGCCAAGATACATTATACGTAGATTGACGTTTCTTTTTTGGCCAAGGTATAAAAGCCTTTCTATTCAGTGTTCCCAGTAGTTCGCACGTAAACATTAATTTGAACATCACCTTTGTATAGGTGTATAATTTGTAATTACTGTTACTGGTACAGGTATTATATCTCTAAAACATAATTAAAACCAAATATTAATGATGTGTTTATCAAAAATACTCTTCCAAGATACTTAGAAAAAAAGAAAGACCGATATACTAACGTGCCACAGGGATGGAAGTATCGCGATGTAAAAAATAGGCCTTCCATGGTACATGAAACCGTTGCGAAAGACTAAACTGTGTATAATAAACGTAAATAAGTATTTACTATCTGTTGCACCTATTACTTGCATGTAAGTTTCATCTTCCCAATTTTTGCTTTCTATCGCTTTGAAACTATCTTGATATTGTCCGTCAGTAATTTTGTCATCATAAAACGCTCTTGTTATTCCAAAGAGATTGGAATGTTTAGAAGAGATTAGATTCAATTTTCCAGGATATTTTGCAGAGATCGTTTCCAGTACTTGGTGTAATTTTTGATTTCCTTCGTACATGTGAATCAGCGGTACGCCAGCTTTCAACAGTTCTCTCGTTAATATGCCAAAACCAGAATTCAATTCGGCAACGTAACACATGTTTCTCGAGAGATCATTTTTTATCAAAGAGACATACTTCGCGGCGGTATCTTTGTCAATCAGATGTAATATATTTGTATCCCCCTTTTTTAACGTGCACTTCATTGATTGAATAATATCAATTATATCTGGATTGACTTTCCGTATATAATTAATAATGTCCAACGTTTCTTTATCCTGCAATATAGATTGTATATATTTCAATTGCTTTTCTATGGTTTTCTTCTTCTTCTTCACTTTTGACAATCCTGTTTTTTCAATCAGCCCCTTCGTCTCCGCGGTATTAATAGCTTCTTTCTGATGTGCGGGTGAGCTGTCAGTGGTCAATGTTGAGCAATATGCACTTGCGATGTGCCTATTTCTTCTCGATAACCAGGAAGTTATAACCGGCAAAACGCTTTTGTGCAACATTTTATATCCGATCTGTACAAAAGAAAAATAGAGAGCAACCTTCGAGACCAGTGTGCAAATACAAAAGCAATCATGAAAACCTCTTGAACCTCTAATGTAACTTTCTTTTCTCTTTCAAGTAAGTTTCCTCAAATAATCTCACCGAATTTCTCAACAGACTGATAGATTTCTTTCGACGTTTCGTGTCTTCTTTCTAATCAAATTCACAGTCAAAATGCCTCTACACGTGTTACTGTTTATAAGCAAACTTAACCTAATCTAACCTAATCTCACTTTTTAGCGCATTAATATATGCTACACGGCGTTTTCTGCTCGTCATTCTGAGACAATTGTAAGTAATTAACAAATGTACAATGCGCATAAAGTAGATATATAAGCTACAAATTTCAAGTATCACATATATTGTATATTCTACAATTATAAATTCATAATATTAATCTTGCAGGTTATGTTTTTTTTTTTTTTTTAAAGCATGGGATAGTATTTTAATCCAGAACTTGTGGCAGTTTATATAATAATAATTATTATATCATATTTTATGTAGAGACAAAATATTTGAGCTATATAAAACTAGAATTTTTTATTTTGTCGCATCAGATTGTTATTAAATATTACTTTTTATAATTAGCTTTTACTGTGAATGATATATATACGTGTGTATGAAAGATGTATACTTTTTAGATATTATCTTTGGGTTTTTCCAGAAACGAGGATAGTTTGTCAGTGATATCACACATTATTGCCACTTCTACACGGAATCATAGAATGGCTCAAAGCGCTGCCTTGTTAACACGCATAGTGGCATCCTCTGTATCCGCCACGGTACAAGCCGGTAAAATAATTCGAGATGTTTTGAACAAAGGCGGATTAAATATTGTGGAAAAGGGCAAGAACGATTTGCAAACGGAGGCGGATCGTTGCGCCCAACGATGTATCATAACTTCGCTCAGTCGACAATTTCCAAACATCACGATTATCGGTGAGGAGGAACCGTCCAGCTGCGAGGTGCCTTCGGAATGGATCATCACAGAAGCGGATCAAGAGGTGTTGCAATTGAAACTGCCGGCTCACTTGGAGGATGTTAATCCTAAGGACGTGTGCGTCTGGGTAGACCCTCTAGATGGTACTGATGACTTAACGTGAACGTAAAAATCCTGCGTGATAAATATAAGGCACCCTCGCGCTTCTGTTTTGCTCGGAATGTACATTATTGCATATCACAAATATCTAAGAGTACAAGTCCAACTTTTATTTATCAAAGAATTTGCATTGCAGGTACGACGGAGTACACGCAAGGACTGGTGGAGCATGTTACGGTATTGGTCGGCGTGGCAATCGGCAAAACGGCAATCGGAGGCGTGATACATCAGCCTTATTACAAGAACGACGAAAGCGGCACGTTTATTGAGAACGGTCGTACATTATGGGGTATTGACGGCGCGGGATTCGGGGGATTTACGCCGAAGTCACCTCCGGAGGGGAGGAGGATAATCGCGACTACTCGGTAGCGAGCAATTTTAACATTTGTTAAATTGTACTTCGATAATTTATTCTGTTGAATATATCGTTTTGCTTGTTCCTCAGGTCACATTCCGACAGTATTGTCCAAAGCGCCATAAAATCGTTGGAACCTGACGAGGTGACACGCGTTGGTGGTGCTGGGCACAAGGTAATTGCACAAGCGACTATTCATGATTCTCGTTGATCAGATATGATTTTCGAATTGTTCGAAACATATTCTTCATTAATAAAATCTAAATATCGCGTGTCTATTCGCAGGTAATTCTTCTGTTAGAAGGAAAGGCTCACGCGTACGTGTTTGCTAGTCGCGGGTGCAAGAGATGGGACACTTGCGCGCCCGAAGCCATTCTTCATGCAATCGGTGGCGTTTTGACCGATCTTCATGGTGAACGCTATTCTTATAATCGGGAAACGACGTATGTAAATATGAGAGGGATACTGGCTACGGCGCCTGGCCAACCGCATCAGTGGTATTTAAGTCGTATACCTGATGAAGTAAAACAAAAGTTGCAATAGGTGACCTGCATAGTCAATAATTTTTAAATTGACATCGTCTAATGATATTTAATAATTTACTTAAATAAAAGAAAATTTTAATAATCCTCTAAGTATCATATAAACATTCCGTACAGTTATATATTTTTCGATACTTTGTTTTAACAAAATTCTGATTTATAAAGAAAAATGTGAAGGTGGCTGTTAATCTCGAAACAAGCTTGAAATAAAATTGTATAATACATACATAAAAAAGAATTTTAGGTAAATGAATTTATTATTTCACTCCTACTTTGTCAAAGCTTTTTTATTATATTTATCTTTTACAATGGTAAAAAATAATTCAGTTACGAAATTAATGTTATTACACTGAATTAAAAATATCGAAGCATAACATTTTACATAAGGAAAGACAGCATAAGGAAAGAAAGTCTAACAATATTATCAAATTCACGGTTCAAAGGGGCGTTAATAGATTAAATAAACGGCATGTAAGGCAATAAACGAAGAAAAATGTTCACGGTCAATACACTGATACACTATACAGCAACCGGTAAATTCCGGTTTTCCGTCAAGGTATTTAAGTAGAAGGGAGAGTAAAAGGCTCTGTAAGAAGTCTCGGCAAGTTAGTGCGCGACTACGCGTCGCGCATCATCCAGCTTAGTAAATCGGTATATATTCCGATTGGATCTTTGCTTGTCTCGCTATTAAACAGACTGGTTGTCCTTCAGAAATCGTGTGTATATTAAAAGAGTGAGAAAGATAAAGGAACGAAAAAAAGCGAGAGATCAAATTCAAAGAGCTGACGCAAGAGACAGAAATTCGAAGAAGATAAGGAGACTTATTAAGAAAACAATTTCGAGACGGCAATTCAGTAGAAATGGCAAAACATTTTCTATTCGCAAAATTGTTTCTCTTGACGATATTTCTCGTAAATATTTGTGAGAATTATGCCGCTTATCAGCCTCCACCGGCTACAGTGCAGCCACTTCATCCCACGGGACTACGCGTATCTATTCCTGGTAAGATAATAAAATTTCATTTATTAAATAGTATATTTATATACATAGGGCATTTGGTACTTAACAAATAAAATAATTGAACTAAAATATTGCAGATAGATACAGATATTTCTGTAAATTTGTTTTGAAGAATCTGTAATTTAAATTACGACTGTTTTGAGACACTAATGCATATGTCATATCAGTTTAACAAATAAATTATATATATTATAATCGAAATTGTAGGATTGCGTTTAATCGGAATAACATTCTTTTCCTATAGATGAGCATGGAATTACATTAGTGGCTTTCCATGTAAAATTCAATGAAGATTTTGATGGCTTAGAAGCGGGACATATCGCGAAAGACATTCTCAAAGTTCGTAATGGACGATGGACTTACGAAGACCGGCGCACTCAATTACAGAGAGATGATATTATCTATTATTGGATTCACGTTGTATATCAAGGTCTTGGTTACAATTTGGTTGATCAATCGTATCGGGTTATCGGTAAGTTATATGTAAATATTATTTAAGGCTGATGATTAATCTTCGGGGTAATTGTGTAGATGGAGGAGGTCACCTTAGATGACCTTGATTTTTAAGTAATTTAACGATGCAATCTTTACTATCATCTATTTATGATTTAATTTGATTTATCAAAAGAGCGATTATTTATTAGATACAATATGCAATTGTCCGCGATTTTTTCCCTTGTTATAATCCTTGAAACTTTTATTTTTAGATTTTTACAATTACGATGGCACTCTGCACATTGGCAACGAAGTTGAAAGTTCGCAGAATTGCACGACAGCATCGACCACATGGGTCTTCGAGAACGGCAACCGACGACAAGCCTGTCCACGTCAGCTCATCTTTGAGGACAACTTCGATAATCTCAATGCCACAAAATGGAATCCGTTGAATCGTTTTGCCGGCCCGCCGGTACGTATCGCCGACAAGTGTCCATTTATATAAAATAAAATAAAAAAACGGTTTTCATTAAACTGTTATGCTATTTTTGATGCTAGGATGATGAATTTGTCGTCTATATGACCGATGAAGTAACGGATGTGAGCGATGGACGGTTGCGCATTAAACCGATCCTGCTTAATAGTAAATACGGCACGGACTTTGCATCACGTGGAACATTAGAAATAGAAAGGTATGCGGATAATATGAATTAAGAAAATAAAAGAGAGATTAAAGTCAAACTTAATTATATTTCTTTTTTCAGTTGCACAGGCGAAATTAGTACACCGGAGTGCTACCGCGTAGGCGCTGGCTCATACATCTTGCCTCCTGTAATCTCTGGACGTATTAATACAAAGGGAAAATTTGAGTTTCTTTTCGGGCGTGTCGAAATAAGAGCCAAATTGCCACATGGCGATTGGGTGTATCCTGGTAAGTTTATCGCAACTTTTTCCCATCGATTCTTCTTGCAATTTTGATCGTTGTAAGTTCGCGTTTTGTAGTAATAACACTAGAGAGTGCCGAGAATACGTGGCAATTGGGACTGCATCACGAGATCAGGATTGCTTCCTCGGTGGGCAACGAAGAGTTAAGGACTCCCGAGGGTGAGACTGTCAGTGGTCACATATTGGCCGCGGGTGGACTGACCGTATCCTTAAGTGAGAGTAACGCGCAGAGTAATAATCGCATGACGCTACCCAAGAGGCAGTCGGGCAAAACCTGGTCGGATGATTTCCATATCTTCGAGATCGAATGGAAAAGCGGCCTCATTGTAGTAAAGGTTGACGGAGTGCAGTACGGCGAGCAACCCGTCGACGGGTCGTTTGGAAAATCGGTATTGAAATTATATTATATTTTTCTTCGTTAACAGAGACTCTTGTACCATTTGCACAGTTTTACTAAATCTTGTAACAAATGCTGAAGATTTGATATCATTTATTGCGCAGTCGTATTTGACTTTGGGCGTAGCTGTCGGAGGCAGTCACGAATTTCAAGACCATGTCACGAGCAGCGGATATGTCAAACCTTGGCGAAATGTCGAAGCCTTCGTATGTCACTGAATATTTAAGATTAAATTTCTTAAGAAACTTTTAGAGCTAAATATGTAAGAGATTTTGACAAATAAGTGCAATCAATACATTGTTCTTTACAGGCATTGAAAAAATTCTATCATGCAAAAAATAAGTGGCATCCCACATGGGACACAAGAACAGCGCTTCAAGTGGATTATGTGAAAGTGTGGGCACTGTAAATACTTTCGTCTCCGTGAAACGATAAAATATCCGTACAACTACGTATATTTTTATTATCTTATATTTTATACGCGTGTCTTTCTTGCAAACACGTACGTTTATCAATAAAGGCCGGAACACAATACAAAGGTACAGGTAATAGGAATAGGAAATAGCAACAGAATGTAGATTTTCAACCTATCAGAAGCCGTGTATTAATGCATTCCGTTGCTATTCCCTGTTCCTATTGCCTGTACCTTTGTATTGTGTTCCGGCCTTAACGATCATTTAACTCACACATATTATACACAAAATAAATAATAACACAGACTGATTTGTACTTGATGATTATTACTTATTTTAGAGTTCTGGCTATTCTACTACTAACTTAAGCTAACATAGTTTATAGTTCTATCGATTGTATTCGAGTGCATTCGCGCTGTTGCGGATCAAGTTATTACCACTTCTAAAGGGAGCTAGAGGTGGCATCAAAAATGTATTAGGCACAGGTTGCCAGTTCAGTCGAATATCAGGACCAAGACCGTTTCCCAACTGTTCAATGAGCCATTCTCCGCGATATCCAAAGCGCCGTTGATACGTTCCCGCGGCACGTGGTCCATCCTCGGGTCTGAACTCGATGCTCATCGGTTCCTTTCCGGTACTTACGGACACGAGACGTAACAGACCCGCGATACCGTTCTGGGCCCATTCCTGGAGCTGCGGTCGACTGGGCCAGACGTTTGGGAAAATTGAAACATCGGGCCGATTGCTGAACAATGCTTGCGGCCACGCAAACGACGACAAATCAAATGTCTTGGCATTCCGTGTCAACGTTCGATCGCCGCACCATGCGTTTGTCTACTCAAGACAATTATATTACTGTTTTCATTAACAGGGAATTTAATAAATTCAGACTAATTCCATATCCAGTTTGATACATAATTAAATTGAAATTTTGCAGGATTGTTTACAAAAAATATAAAAATTACAGGGTAAAATTAAAATTCCTTGAATTGAATCAGAGAAGCAAGTGAATTGGTGCCTTTACACATGCTTAATATAGATCACTTACCGCGCAAAGGATGATCGTTAAAAGTACTTTATTAACGTGCATGACTTGCTGAAATTGCGCTCATTGCGGAAGCACCTACCGGAAAATAATGAACGACTGGCTCCATTCGGATTCCGTCCGGCTTTTATGCCCTCCTCTCCCGTACCCCATAGGAAATTCGTGATTCGCATCAAGTATCGATTCGGTGAATAACCGATTGTCATTCACGGACAGTATCCAATGTAACTTTTTAAACTCTCGCGCGCCGTTAAGCGCGCGATCGAGTTTTTACTTTCACTGCCAGTATTACGATACACTGGCGAACATTTTCGTATAAGCACATTGGATTACTGAATAAGTTTCATAGGGTAGTCATTCCGCGACGGTAGAGATACTGTTCCTCGAGTGAGCCATGCATCGGAACCGAATATTGGTAGGTTTAATCACAAAATTTTACGAGGAATTGAGTTGATCGAGTTCGGATAAGAATTTTGAGGTCCTTGGTGAGCGAAAAAATTGTATCATGAAGCATCTAAAATAATTTAATTTAGTGGTGTGTTAATAAATTATTAGTAATAATATTATTGTGTAATAA